ATTGACTTTGTGTTGTGCTAGATTAACGATAAATTGTTTCAAAAATTCGATGGAGTACTTAAACAATTGAAAAAATTTTGCAATGTCCAGCAGTAAGATATTTTGTAAGCTATTACCTGCAATTTGGTTATCCCGCCATTAATATTTTGTCCAGAAATATACGATGTCTCGGTAAGAAGTATGATATTTTGACGTTGCGCCGAAAAGTTGTGGTAAACGCCCTATCACCGTGAATTAGATGATAAAAAATGATATATACCTGCTATTATTTTCTCATAATAAAGAAAAAGCACAATATTGCCTCAAATAATCATTCGCAAAGAGTCTCTTAACCCTTTTTTCTAAAGAAAGTGTAGGGAAATATTTAGTGTTGTGAAATCTTTCGATAATTTAGTAGTGTTCGTTTACAATACGCATGCGCTGTAAAATTGGGCCTGTCTAAAACGCGGACGCCTTAAGCGGACAATATTAACATATAGGGAAAACGCTGACAATATAGACAAAGAGGAAAAAAGCGGACGATATAGATATATAGTGTAGACTAATTGGTGATGATTTTGGGCATTGATGAAGTTTATAAAAATGATGTGTAATTGGATTTATACTTTAATATATAAAAAAATATAATAAATTAGAAAATTGGGAGAAATATTAAAGTAATTTATGATTGAATGTCAATGAATTTTATATTATATTTATATGACACATTTTCGGAATTTCTAAATATTGAAAACTAATATATGAAACAAATGGATCAAATGAATGTCTTTAGAATTACAATGATGGTACTATTAAATTGGCAACAGCTGATATGTAATTAAGGATATGTATTTCATTTTGGCATTGTTTTTGTCTGTCTTTATGTGCAGTAGGCGGACAAAATTTTTGTTCGCAAAATAAACAAAGCCTTGATTTTTCAAAATCAAAAGTTTGTAAGAGTAATTTTTAATCATAAATTATTGATATAAATAAGTAATGACAGGCTGTTGTTTTTTATTGATACAATATAAGCAGAAGCGTGCTGCAAATTAACGGTAATTATATAAGTGTGAACAACACGCTACTGATTAATCGTGTCGGCCGGCACTTAGCTAGAGATAACATGATACGCATTTTGCGGACAATATAGATATATAGGGAAAACGCTGACGATATAGATATAGAGGAAAAAGCGGACGAATATGAAATTTAGAGTAGACTTATTGATGATGAGGTGGGAATCGATGAACTTTATAGAAATGCTGTATAATAAAATAATATATTCATATACGTAAAACTTAATGGCAAATAAGATAATATATTTTTTTGCAAATTACGAATGATACTAAGTTGACCACATTAAAAAAAAAATAAGGATAAAAACTTTCATTCACATTTGTGCAATGATTTTTGGACAAAAACACGCTTATTTATAAATTCATGTTTTTAAGGTTATTTTAAAGTTTAATGGTCGTTGATAAAAAGAAAAAGACATGCACGTATACTGTTGTGACGGACACGTGTTGCAAATTAACGACAATTAAGTGTCAACAACATGCTACCTGATTGAACCTGTCCGCTCTTTTGCCCTATTTTTGCGGACAATATAAATATATAGAGAAAAAGCGGACGATATAGATATAGAGGAAAAAAGCGGGCGCTATAGATATAGTGTAGAATGATGTGTGAGATAAAATTATAATAAAATAGATAGTGATAGTGTATAGTAATATTGTGCACTAATAAAAACGAAGATAAAGAATGAACTTCATTGCAATTTTATTTAAGCAATATAACACATTTGGTACATGAATTAATTTTACACATACAAATAATAATAATCCTTTCCTAAAGAAATATAGCCAGATTTTTTTTTATTCATAACAGTTTTCTTTTCTCCTGTTTTTACATTTATTTCGTCAGCGTTTTCCTTCTATATCTATATCGTCCGCTTTTTCACTAGTTGATTGGTATTTATAGCAGAAAGTTTTTTTTTATTTACTTAATGGATAAAATATAAATAAAACTAAAAAAATATTATGAATTAAAGAAAGATAATTGATATAACTTAATTATATACATGGTAGAAGCCAGATATTTTTTTTTATTTATAACAGTTTTCTATTCTCCCCGTTTTATACTTTTATTTCGTCAGCGTTTTCCCTCTATATCTATATCGTCCGCGTTTTTCACTATATGTCTATATTGTCCGCATTTTCTGTAGCCACTTTATTAATTGTAAATGGGTGAGATGCATGATTACTTGAAATATACAAGTGTCAGTGCGTGATTAAGTCAAATACACAGGTGACACGTGGATACTTTAATTAGTTGATTGGTATTTATAGCAGAAAGTTTTTTTTATTTACTTAATGGATAAAATATAAATAAAAACTAAAAATATTATGAATTAAAGAAAGATAATTGATATAACTTAATTATATACATGGTAGAAGCCAGATATTTTTTTTATTCATAACAGTTTTCTATTCTCCCGATTTATACATTTATTTCGTCAGCGTTTTCCCTCTATATCTATATCGTCCGCTTTTTTTCACTATATGTCTATTTTGTCCGCATTTTCTGTAGCCACTTTATTAATTGTACAAGGGTGAGATGTATGATTACTTGAAATATACAAGTGTCGGTGCGTGATTAAGTCAAATACACAGGTGACACGTGGATACTTTAATTAGTTGATTGGTATTTATAGCAGAAAGTTTTTTTTATTTACTTAATGGATAAAATATAAATAAAACTAAAAAATATTATGAATTAAAGAAAGATAATTGATATAAACTTAATTATATACATGATAGAAGCCAGATATTTTTTTTTATTTATAACAGTTTTCTATTCTCCCGTTTTATACTTTTATTTCGTCAGCGTTTTCCCTCTATATCTATATCGTCCGCTTTTTCACTATATGTCTATATTGTCCGCATTTTCTGTAGCCACTTTATTAATTGTACAAGGGTGAGATGTATGATTACTTGAAATATACAAGTGTCGGTGCGTGATTAAGTGAAATACACAGGTGACACGTGGATACTTTAATTAGTTGATTGGTATTTATAGCAGAAAGTTTTGTTTATTTACTTAATGGATAAAATATAAATAAAACTAAAAAATATTATGAATTAAAGAAAGATAATTGATATAACTTAAATATATACATGGTAGAAGCCAGATATTTTTTTTTATTAATAACAGTTTTCTATTCTCTCGTTTTATACTTTTATTTCGTCAGCGTTTTCCCTCTATATCTATATCGTCCGCTTTTTCACTATATGTCTATATTGTCCGCATTTTCTGTAGCCACTTTATTAATTGTACAAGGGTGAGATGTATGATTACTTGAAATATACAAGTGTCGGTGCGTGATTAAGTGAAATACACAGGTGACACGTGGATACTTTAATTAGTTGATTGGTATTTATAGCAGAAAGTTTTGTTTATTTACTTAATGGATAAAATATAAATAAAACTAAAAAATATTATGAATTAAAGAAAGATAATTGATATAACTTAAATATATACATATCACACTTAATTGTAATGCTTTAAGTTAATTTGCAACACGTGTATTTTCACCGGTAAACGTTAATTTTCAAAAAATATACTCATTCGCCCACTATTTCATAATTATATATGTACACAAAAGAAGATTCGGCGAATATGTCAATTAATGTGCAATATAGAGAAACAAAATTACAAAACATAGTAAATTGTATATTTTGAAAGAATGTCAATCTACAGTCACACTATATATCTATATCGTCCGCTTTTTTCCTCTATGTCTATATTGTCAGCGTTTTCCCTATATGTTTATCATGTCCGCGAATTGCGTATGCAAAGTGTTCAAATATATTCAAACTTATTTCTTGTGCCCTTATTCAGTTTTCCACACGTGACTGTTGCATGTTTTGTACTGTTTAATTAAAAGTTATTAAGTCAATTAACATGAACAAATAAAAAACCTAAATTTAAGAATTTGAACAAATAAATAAACTTAAGTCTTTTTTAATTATTATAATAATTACACCTTACAATTACTACTGCTTCTAACTAATGTCTTTCATATATTACTTCATAAAAGCCAATTATTAGCCTTTAATATGAATTTTAACTATGCTCAGTCATTTTACACTATATATCTATATCGTCCGCTTTTTTCCTCTTTGTCTATATCGTCAGCGTTTTCCCTATATGTTTATATTGTCCGCTTAAGGCGTCCGCGTTTTAGACTGTGCCAAAACTTTACAGTACTGTATATAGACAATAGATTTTTTATTACCTCCCTTTATTTACATGAAATGTTAAATTCGGTAATATCTTTATAAATAATGCTTTTGGAACCTACAATATTGATAAATCTTAATTTGAGCATCATATAAATTTATGATTTAAAACCATAAAAATGTTGTGTTAAAGGATCTTTAAATAACTATTTTTTCCGACAATTTGATAGAGAAATATTGACTTGACATGTTTTAACCTACTGTACTATACAGTACAGTATCTTTACATCTGCGCTTTTCTTTGGAAATTTTTGGTAGGATGGTGAGGAACTTGATAAGGTAAAAAGAAGTGCACTTTACATAAATCATAGGCATAATTATTTTGGGATCGTTTTTTTTAAAGGTAAGAATCTTTTTCTGTTACGTTTTGTAGGAATTATTATATAAGCAAAAGTAAATATAAACAAGTCGTGGGAAAATTGCCGCTATTTACATGTTAATTCTAGTTTTCAAGGAAATAAGGAATTTATTTTCATGAATTAATTCTTTGAAAAAAAAGCCTTTTTCTTCAAATATTGTCATTTGAAGACATATTTGAAGCTTTCTTACATGATAAATAAAATATCGCCCCCTTTTGAAAAAAAAAATGTTATTATGTTTTAACATGTTAAAATGGATGGTGACATGATTGTTAGTCGGAATGGGATTTTATTATATTAGTATCTTGACCGATTTTTTTAATAGCTTAATAAGGCTGCTGAAGTTTCAATATCTTTAATGATAATTACTTCCGGGTTAAAATGTAGGGTGAACTTAGCGGGAATTTTATATAAATATGTTTTAATGGTATATTTTTTTACTTTTATAATTTATATTTAGGAGGAGGTGTTATTTGATAGAAGCTTTCTTTGAAGGTACATTTTTTATACCCGTTGCATTTGTTGTAATGTCTTTGAAAAGTGTCTATAGAACCGGATAATCTTTGTTCGACATGATCATTTAGGAACAGATCAACATTATTGCGATATTCTAGTCATTTGACAACAAATTGAACCATTTATATGTTAATCTAAGGACCAGGAATAACGATACAAATGTTAGATATTTTGACACGTTTGAAGAAGTGTAAAAAGGGGCCATTTTCCAAACTTAAAAATATGCCCACTTTTATTTTCAGTTTTTGGAAATTGAAGGCAATGTGTATGGGTTATTGAATATATTTATCTCATGAATGTCTATTCCCTTTGTATAAACTCATTAATACAAAGAATGATAATATTTATGCTTTTTTGCTTTTGCAGAACAACTATATAAATTGTGAAAAATGTCTCAAAATTGAAAAGTGTTTTTCACTCAAAGTGGGCTAAGAATAGCACAAAAATACCATTTTCAATTTCTTTCATAGTAAATTTCTCAATCATTTTTTTGCATAGTTTTCTGTTTAAGTGCCCAAGCAGCTCTATGTGAAAAAATTCAAATTTTATGTTTTTAGGGTTTTGAGCCTCAGTGGAGTTCCTTTAAGGAGCAAAATGACATTGATTTGCTTGTAAACAGGATGACTTTATGATAATTAACTTTTAATATTTATTTACTTTCACATTCTCAGGGCTCGAATTTAACACTCGCAAACTCGCAAAATGCTAGTTGAAAAAAGATTTTGCGAGTTAGATTTATAACTACTCGCATTTTTTTGCGAGTTTAAGAAAAAACAGATTACGCTCGTCAGTAAAATCCGAAATATAAATGGGGGGTAATATTCGCAGGTAGCCGAGTTATAAACTATGCGCGCACTTGCTGTCTGGTTTACATTTTCTATACCTTAACCTCGCTTAAAAAAGTATACAAATTTAAACCAGTCCAAATGTCATTTTGTCCGTGTAAATCAAGCGTGATCGGAATAAAATGTCTAAACGAAAAATAACGAACTTCTTCCCACTTACTGAAGCAAATGTGTCTTCCGATAACAATACTCTGAGTACAGAAGATGATTCACAGTCTATCAAAAGAAAGACAATCAGACCTTCAGTTAAAACGGTTAAAAATTGGGAAAAGAACTGCACGTCAGTCTTATGTATCGATACTAACTCGATGACGATGGAAATGTTGCCAAAATATTTTGCGCCGATTGTTGTGCGCATAATCCAGACCAGACATAGTCGGTATGGCGACAATATTGCATTATTATTTTTTTTACATGTAGATTGACATTTGCTAAGAATCCCTGTCCACTAAATCAAGTTTTTGAGTAGAAAGTTACGTTGCTGATTCGTACCCCGGGCAGTTCGAACTCGTCCAAATGAATTACAATTTTAAACAATTTTGGAATTAAAAAATCACTGTCATAAAAAGCGCTAGTTGAATTCAGTTTTTGCTAGTTAAAAATTTGTCCACTAGCAAAAAATTGCTAGTGGCCAAAAAAGTTAAATTCGAGCCCTGCATTCTGTTATTTTTCATGGATGCATTTATTTTTTATGGATGCATCTTTTTGACATCTTTTCCAAGAATAGTACTTGTATGTAAGGCCCACACGATTACATGTGTAAACGAATTGGTTCTGATTTTCATTCGTAAACGTTTGTAATATTTTTTATCGTTGAAACGAAATGACCACATTGTCTTACAAAATATCTTAATTATTGCCTGTGATCATGAATTTTTCAATTCTAATATATTTATTCCAAAGTAAAAGAAAAAAATAAGGGTATTTACAACTCTCCACACAGCATCATCATGCAATAATCGCTCTAATATATTTTTGGTAAAGTTGATTTTCCTTTGATCTTTCAAAAAACTAAATGGGATACAATACAGAAAATGTGTGCTGACTCTCCTGTGATGAGCCCTGAACATTATTTATACATGTATTAAATAGTTATCATTTGGCAACTCTAATACATGGTATTGTATAGTTTTTAAGCAATCGTGTAAACGTTTACAAAAAATTGTAAACGTGGGAGCCTTACTTGTAACTGATATGGATTATGATAGGTTGTCATGGTAGGGAACAAATATATTAATAGGTTTATTATCCCCGCCGAAAAGGTAGTGGGGGATATAGAATTAGTCTCTGTCTGTTCTTCCGTCCATCCGGGCATATATCGAAAAAATATTTGAGATACAAAATGTATCAACATGAAACTTCATAGATGGATAGATCATATTGAGGAGTGCGGTGCACAAGAATGATAACTCTACCCTGCATAATTGTTCAGTTATTGCCCTTTGCTATTTCTCTTACTTTATTTTTGTCCAGAGCATAACTCAAAAAGCCTTTGAGATATCAACAATGAAACTTCATAGATGGATAGATATCACTTAGGAGGTATGCAGTGCACAAGAATGATAACTCTACCCTTCATATTTTTTGAGTTATTGCCCTTTGTTATTTTCATACTTTTTGTCTGGAGCTTATCTCAAAAGTGTTAGAGGTATCAACTTGAAACTTCATAGGTGGATAGATCTCATTGCGGAGGAGTGCAGCACATAAGAATGATAACCTACCCTGCATTATTTTTCAGTTATTGCCTTGTTATTTTCAGCCGTCAGTATTCACATAGGTTTCAAATCTGTAATCACTTCACCCATCAGTTTTCATTACCAAAAGAATTATTCTGCTCTTCTAAATATACATTCTTCCCATGAGCAAACACATTCTGTGGGGGGTGGCCATGATTACATGGCTCTTTTACATTATAATCCAATCAGAAGTTTATCAGCTGTTCCTCTATGAATAAATAGTGCAGATTTATACAGTTAAGTGTCTTAAACCAACTCATCTGTGGACAGCTTAGCAACAGTCAACTAGTTATTTAAGCTGAGTCTGTCCAAATGGCCAACATTATTATAGAGGCAAGAGACAATAAAATTATCAAATTTCCCATTGTTATAAAAGAAGTGGGACTAAACCTTGAATATCATTTTATTAGCATTTTCTAAAGTAAAACCAATTAATTTTATCCCAAATAACAAGAAACATAGTTAAAGAAAGCTTTTTTGTTTTGAGATATTGCGGCGGGTATACCATATGAGCCGCGTCAAAACCAACATAGTGGGTTTGCGACCAGCATGGATCCAGACCAGCCTGCGCCGATGCGCAGTCTGGTCTGGATCCATGCTGGTCGCAAACGCATTACGTTGGTTTTGTCATGACATGGCCCATATAGTGTTGAGATTTTTCTGAGATATATTTCCAACAAAACAAGTGATTTTTCTCACTTAATTGGGAAGAGGCCTTAGCCTCTTGATTTGGGGAAAAATTATTGCTAAAGTTGCTAATTTTGGAAGTAAAAATGCAGGTTTAAGTTCAGATTTTTGGGAAAAACTGCATGATTTTAAAGAAAATATTTCAGTGGAGATTTTATAGCAGTGCTGGTCTGTTAGACCTGTCGATAACATTAAAACTCATACAAGCATCATATATTAGTTATGAAGGCCAGAACTACAGCAAATTATTTCATTTATGAAATATAATGATCTAGTGTTCTAGTGTATTTGCGATCCTGAATGTCTAAAATAAAAAACAAAAGTGCCTGTCAAAACATTTCCACCATACAGAAAAATTTCTTTATTGTGATATATGACATTTGCCCCCTCAGAAAAGAAGTTAACATGGCGATAATGATAACCTTTAGATAAGAATTTAACCCATTACTTCATATACACGCCTTTTAACGCCCTTTTCACCCCCCCTTTTTGTTGTCTCAAATGATGAAAAAATGCCTTATTTAGGCCCCAAACACTTGTTTTTGTTTGAGAAATGTTGTTAAAAAAAGTGACCTCTTTTTCGGCGCGGCCCCCCAACCAAAAAGTACATCAGGGGTTGCCAGAAGGGGGATGTGCCCCCTTCTGTTTGGGGGGGGTTTGAAGGGGGGCGGAGTCCCCCTCTTCGCCAAGAAAATTTTGGACTTGTGAGAGGCTGTAAATGACCCCAGATTGATCATAAGGTAACGTGTAACCAACCCTGAAAAGCATTTGACTCTATCTCAATCCATTGAGAAGTTGCAGCACTTTGAAATCAATTTTGATGGAAAAAATCAACGCAAAATAGTGATTTTTGGCAATTTTGAGATGTCCCCTCGTTGCCATGGTAACAGAAAATTTAAGCCTGAGCATGTTGTTGCAAGGGCAATGGTCCAGTCAACATTTGTGCCAAGTTTGATTAGTGTTGAAGCAGTTTTTATAGTATTATAGCAATTTGAACTTGTAACGGGAGACTTTTCAATGAAAACAGCCATTTTTCACAAAATGCTCATGAAGTAATGGGTTAAGATTATAAGGAAAAACAGAGCATCAACCGTTTGTTAGTGTTTGATACTTTTAAAACAAAAGGGAAAAATATGTGAAATTTTAAGGCCAAAAAAGAAATTTGGGTTTTAATTATTTTAAAAATTAATGAAACCCGCCCCTATTAATTGTAATTTAAAAATTTAAAAGCAAACTTACTGTGGCCCGACAAAAAAAATAGAAAAATTTTTTATAAAGGGAATGAGGTTTTTTGTTTGATTACTTTTTAAAGTTTTTTCAGGTTTTTAAATTAAAGATTTTAAAAAATTTTTAAAAACCCCTATATTGGGGGGGTCCCGACTATTTGTAGTGAAAATTTTTTCATGGCTGGGGAAAGGCTTACAAAGAAAATATCCCGATAAAAAACTTTTTAGGGTTTTTCAAAATTTCCTTTAAAGGGGTTTGTAAAAAGGTCATTGCCCTTTTTTTCAATTTGGAGTTTTCAGTTTTAAATTACATTTGTTTAAAAGTCAAATTTTAAAAAATTTACATATTTATGTAAATCAATAATCTTATTCAGTTAATTAATACTTTAAATCGCAAAATATTTCATCTGTTTAAACTTTTGTATTTGCATTATGTACACATGTAAGTAAAGTGTATATAAACATGTCTATAAGGGCAGTGTAGTTGTTGTTTATGTTGGATCTGTATCAAGTAGAGTTTGACATTTAAATAGTTTATCTAAGCATTTATATTGTATCAATTGTACCTGATCACATATCAGCTGGCCAAGGTTATAGCTTACAGTATTTAATATTTACATTCAAGGTTGAAATGTTATAGTAATTATGATGTTATTGTATGATTATATAACAACAAGTAAAAAGTAATTAACTGTATATTAGAATCTGTATTTAGTATCATAATTGACATATGTGGACAACTAAAATACAGATGTGTAAAAATATAAAATACCTTAAATAATATGGGTCTTCCAGTTGGCATTTTAAGTCTATATATTATTATGACAATACAGGGATAGTAGTTGCTAGAGAAGCCCAGAGTGAGCCAAAGTTGAATTATGTATAGGTTATAGGTTATATACAGAGTTTTAAGAAATTAATTTTCGAGCGAACGAAGTGACTTACAGTTAGCCCCGTCTATTCACACCGAGTGCACTATGTAAATAGGTGGAGTCCATTAAATCGGCTCATTTAACGTATTTAATACATACAGTTGAGTTACAGCACTGTATGGAAAATACTTCGGCAAAATTTAAACAAAATAGAGCGATTTCATTGGTAGACAAACTTTGGCGAACTGTAATGATAGAAAATGTTTGATTGAAAAACAAGGTTAAGTATTTTTTTATCAATCACTGTGACACACATTTTATATGTCTCCTTTTATTTGTTCAGATTTGGCTTTTTGGCTGCAGTACTTGTATTTATTGCAACCAATTAACCATTAATATATGGAGTGGCTTGTCCTAAACCAAACTTTAAGGATTTCCGTAATATTGTGTGTGTGTGGGTGGGATGTTTTTATTTTTTTGATTCAGTTTTATTTTGCTAACACTTTGTGACACTTACTTTCTTCATGACATTTCAAGCAACATGCTTTTAAAGAAATATTATAAAAGCAAGTGAAAAAATTAAAAATATTACAGATGTGTGTATACTATAGAAAACAAGTTAATTGTTGCAACCATTTTCTAATGATGTAATATATTATCATTACAAAAATCTGCTTAATAGTAAAGAAAAAAGCTTGAGTGTGTATTTTGTTGTTTTCCAGATGTTTTATAAAGATTGACCAGCCATGGCAAGCTTGCGATCACGAGATAGTAACTCGGACAGTAACACGAAGATTTTCCTCTTATCAGGACTGGGTGATAATGTTAGGAGAGATCTTGCCAGGAAAATACATTTACTGGGCGGAAAATACTTTGACTTACAGGTGAATAAACATATATTTTTATCTATATTATATAATTTATACTTTTCTATTTCAATCTCATGATACATTAAATGTGTTTTATTTGCAATTTTTTATGTTTTCTTCATGATTTTCCTCGTATTGAAGATGTCAAGCTATGTTACTTTTTCTGAATGACAGTCAATATTTCTCTGACTGTCTAGAAAATAGTAATGATTGTTTTTGTTTTTTTTTAAATTACTGGTGTGGGTTTTGTCCATCTTTCACCTTAATCAATGGCTCCAAGTCAGTGATGGGTTCAATGAAATAATATACATGTTTGTAAATAAAAATTAAAATAATACATGCAGCCTCATTTACATTGTAAAATGTTGTCAAAATTCCATCCAGAATGTGAAATTAACATAACATGATGTGAAATCTGAAGATTTGATTTATTTTCAAATAATCCATGTTCTAAATATGACAGTATTACCTGTGTGGCAGTAGCAAAAAACATTTAAATATTTGTTTTATTTTATCATTTTAGGTAAGTAGTATGAGATATGAAAATTAAAAACATGTACAATGTACTCTGATTTAAAGTCTAAAGTGGGGGGAAAAAAAGTATGTGCTAGATTACCCATATTCACTTAATGGTGATAGCAGTGTAATAATAAGGGGAAGTAACTATTGCAGAAAGTGTAGTTTTGTGTTACAAAAACTCCTTAGAACTTGTAACACAGTAGGTCATATATATAAAATAGTCTCAATATTTCGACGGCAAGACAGACCGATTTTATAATCTGATATTTCATAGATGTCTGGCCATCGTCTAGTTAAAAAAAACCCTAAAGCGCACAATTTGTTGGGCTAATATATAAAAGAGCAAGCCATGTTCTGCCTTCATTATGTGTTGTATATACATGTATTAGGTATACACAATTAAACGTAACATCTGTCAATGAAAGTCTCAAAAAGAAGGGGAAAAAATGTAATGTGGCGATATAGGTGGCTGTTCTGTCCATTATTTTAACAAATGATTGTTGTATTGTTTATAACACATGCTACTTTTATGAACAGTTTACTAATTTACTGTTACAGTATATAAAAAATAAGTGTTAAAGAATTTATTTTATTATAATTAGACATTTTATTTGCATTACTAGTAACGGCTAGTTAGAATTAACATATGTTTAATATTGTTTGACAAAGATTGTTTAGTACTGTTATAAGGGCTCAAATCTTCATTCATATTTTGTAGGATTTCAAGGCAATTTGTACACATGTTGTGTGTGGCAGACTTTCTCGTAGTGAGAAATTTCTCGGAGCATGTGCGACAGGAAAATGGGTGTTACACCCAGACTATGTACAGGACTCGTACATTGCTGGTAGTTGGCTGGACAAGGAGCAGTATGAATGGTGTGACAGCCATATAACAAACAAATATCAGGGTAAATCCATCATTATAATTGTTTATATGCTTAAAACAGTCAGAAAAGTAAAGAGAGGCTTTCATAAATATTTGTTCTGGTTTCATAGTTTATAATTTCTTTATGTATTTGATAGTTTTACTATTTTGTTCTGTTCTATTGGTTTCTATTTAGTCTGTGAAATAAGTATTATGTCAAAGTATGTATTAAAATGCAGATAATTGAATAATTAAATGATATGTGTTAACTCTTGTGTTAAAAAATTATGGTAACGCGGGGGAATAATCCGTTCTGTGCATGCGCGCAAATATTAAGGCACTTAATTCAACGGTTATTACATTATTGTAGCAGACAATCATAATATATCATTATTAGCTCACCAGAGCCGAAGGCTCAAGTGAGCTATTAGTATCAAAGGGGGAAGCTCTGGCGTCCATCGTCCGTCGTCATGCGTCAACAATCGTCTTCTTCTCTGAAACTATTGGGCAGATTTACTTCAAATTTGGTCTGTAGCATCCTTGTGACAGTCACACTTGAATTTGCTCATGTCATTCCAATTGGCCCCTTTTAGGGGTCAGCAGAGCTAAAAATAGAAAAACCTTTAAACATCTTCTTCTACAGAACTAATGGATGGATGATCACCAAACTTTGTCTGTAGCATTCTTGGGTAGTCTTTTATCAAGTTTGCTCATATTATTTTGATTGGCCCCTTTTAGGGGTCTCTAGGGCTAAAAATAGAAAAACCTTTAATCATCTTCTTCTACAGAACTAATTGATGGATGATCACCAAACTTTGTCTGTAGCATTCTTGGGTAGTGTTTTATCAAGTTTGCTCATATTAATTTGATTGGACCCTTTTAGGGGCCACAAAAGCTAAAAATAGAAATACCTTTAAATGTCTATTTCTAGAGAACTAATTGATTGATGATCACCAAACTTTGTCTGTAGCATTGTTGGGTAGTCTTTTATCAAGTTTGCTAATATTATTTTGATTGGCCCCTTTTAGGGGTCTCTAGGGCTAAAAATAGAAAAACCCTTTAAACATCTTTTCCTTCAGAACTAATTGATGGATGATTACCAAACTTAGTCGGTAGCATGCTCTGGTAGTGTTTTATCAAGTTTGCTCATATTAATTTGATTGGCCCCTTTTAGGGGCCGCAAAAGCTAAAAATAGAAATACCTTTAAATGTCTATTTCTAAAGAACTAATTGATGGAAGATCACCAAACTTTGTCTGTAGCATTCTTGGGTAGTCTTTTATCAAGTTTGCTCATATTAATTTGCTTAGCCCCTTTTAGGGGTCTCTATAGCTAAGAATAGAAATACCAGTAAATGTCTATTTCTAGAGAACTAATTGATGGATGATCACCAAACTTTGTCTGCAGTATTCTTGGGTAGTCTTTTATCAAGTTTGCTCATATGAATTTGATAAGCCCTTTTAGGGGCCGCTTAAGCTAAAAAAAGAAATACCTTTAAATGTCTATTTCTGGAGAACTAATGGATGGATGATCACCAAACTTTGTCTGAAGCATTGTTGGGTAGTCTTTTATGAAGTTTGCTCATATTATTTTGATTGGCCCCTTTTAGGGGCCGCTTAAGCTAAAAATAGAAATACCTTTAAATGTCTATTTCTACAAACCTAATGGATGGATGATCATTTAACTTTGTCTGAAGCATTGTTGGGTAGTCTTTTATCAAGTTTGCTCATATTAATTTGATTGACCCCTTTTAGGGGCCGCTAAAGCTAAAAATAGAAAAACCTTTAAACATCTTCTTCTACAGAACTAATGGATGGATGATCACCAAACTTTGTCTGTAGCATTCTTGGGTACTCTTTTATCAAGTTTGCTTATATTTATTTGATTAGCCCCTTTTAGGGGCCACTAAAGCTAAAAATAGAAAAAACCTTCGAACATCATTTCCTACTGAAATAATTGAAAGATGATCACCAAACTTTGTAGCATTCTTAGGTAGTCTTTTATCAAGTTTGCTCATATTATTTTGATTAGCCCTGTTTAAGCTAAAGCTTAAATACCCCAGGTCATGGCATTTCTTCAAATTATTGTTTAAACATATTCTATGCTCAAATTTAATATAAGAATATATTGACATTCCAACACTGAAAAGCAGTTGTTTCTGGTGAGCAACTCAGGGCCATCATGGCCCTCTTGTTATAAAAAGGTTGTTTCCAAACATAGTTTAATTAGTTCAAACAGTTTTTCGTTGTTGTTTTATTACAAAGAATTCTTTTTTGTTTTGGAAAAAAAAAAATAGAAAAAAAAACAGAAAAAAAAGAATAGAAAAACCCAAACTGAATATCAGATATGTTAAATGATTTATAAAGAATCAATACATTCATTTTGTTAATAGTGTTTTATTGCTCTTGTACCACATATACTGGCCTCTTGGTAACAATCATGGATGTCATGTTTATTTTTAGTGACTACTTGGTTTTTTTCCAGTGTCTTAACTTTGCCATTCATCAGTCAGAGTTCCAAATGTTGAATATTTTAGGATTAATTTTAATTCATGACTTAAAAGTATTAGGAAACACAATGTCAGGTAAATTGAGTTGTCTGTACGTGATTTTTGCTCTTTTAATGTCCTACTTTAAAGACGCTTTTTATGATCAAAATGTTATTATTTCAAGTTTGATTAAGTACTAACTTTTACATGAATTAAGAACGCAAAATCAACTGGATAAAAATTTATTGTTTTTTTATGGTTTTAAATGATAATTACAGTGATAAAACATCATATGAGCCGCGTCACGACAAAACCAACATAGTACGTTTGCGACCAGCATGGATACAGACCAGCCTGCGCATCTGTGCAGTCTGATAAGGATCCATGCTGTTCGCAACCAGTTTCTGTACTTGTTATAGGGTCTGTAAGCGAACAGCATGGATCCTGATCAGACTGCGCGGATGCGCAGGCTGGTATAGATCCATGCTGGTCGCAAACCCATTATGTTGGTTTTGTTGTGACGCGGCTCATATTTTGTCAGATGATATGAAGGATCCCAGTACCTTTTAACTGGTTTTAATTTTTTTTTACCATTAGTTGACATGGCACTAGCCTTTGCAGCCAGACGTTGGAGATTCATGCTAGGCGGGGCATCTGCTGCATTTACTGGTTGGAAAGTGGCTGTCATAGCAGGCGCTAAAAGGTCAAAGGTTATCAAAGGGTAATTTTTTTTTCAAAATATTAAAAGAGTTTGTCTTATTAAAAGCAAATACATTAGAATTGGTTGTTGTTTTTTTCTGGTTTTCTAAGATTTTTCTGTTTGTTAATACTGACAACCTCTAGATGAACAAGGTACTTTCTTATATGATCTGGTTAATTTGATTTGTTGCTGAAGGCTGTTTGATATATAATAATTTAATTCTACAAAACCACCTTAAATTATTAGCGCCACTCTTAATTAAGTGTTTATGATAAATTAACATAGAAAATGTTTGTATTTATTTATGCAAAATAACTTAACTATAGTATGATTAAAGTCGAAGTTTTAACTTGCTGATGTTTTCATTAAAATTGTATAACTGCAAATCGGCTCTTACTCGGCAGTAATTAGTGTAGCCGCTTTTTCATGAAGAAACCACTGCTGATAGTGAAAATTGTGATTGGCATATTTTAATAAGCCAGGTCAGGTGTTTCTAAAAAGGCTGATAACACTGTAGCAATGTGAGGATACATTCAAATTTATTACATAGATAATGCACGTGGAGCTCAGCTCGCGGAGACAAATGAGAACACAGTAACTTTTTGATATCCTTTTAACTCTAAGAAAAATGTCAATTATTAATTGCTGACTGTTTGTATTTTCTAGAAAAAGTAAGCAAAACATTATTTTGTTTCATATGACAGGAATGAATTGCATTAACAATCCTATGTATTGTTGAAAACTCATTGTTTTACATGCCAGATTAAGTAATTGGACCCCATCCTTGTTTGTACGTGACTGCTGGGGAAAAATAATGTTATGCTTAATTAAAGAGGTGACACTTTCTATATTTTTATCTGATATCAAGTTGTAAGAGCCGATTTGCAGTTATATGGGTAAGAGTTCGATAATAAGACTCCCTACGGTGGTCTTAATACAAACTCTTACCCATACTTTTACATTTTGTCACATTTTTCTTTGAATGTTCACTTGTTATATAGCAGAGCTTCAAAGATCACATGTTTTCTGTTTTCTATTGGAAGAGCCAATTTGTATGGGTAAGAGTTTGTATTAAGACGACCATAGGGAGTCTTATCGAACTCTTACCCATATAACTGCAAATAGGCTCTTACAACTGGATATCAGATAAAAATATAGAAAGTGTCACCTCTTTAATTAAGCATAACATTGTTTTTCCCCAGAAGTCACATACAAACATGTTTCTTTAGTCTACAGGTGGATCAGGTCAAATTACCTAACTGTAGCAATGTAATTAAAGTAATTATTTTATTCACATCTTCATAATATCTTGAATTATTAATGCAGTTCATTCCTATTATATGAAACTTACTTTTTCTAGAAAATAAAAACAGTCATAAACATTTTTATAAGGATATCAAAATGTTACTATGTACTCATTTGTCTCTACCAAATCCACGTGTATTATCTATGTAATAAATTTGAATATATACTCAAATTGCATCAATGTTATCAGCCTGACCTGGCTAATTAAAATATGCCAATCACAATTATCACTATCAGCACTGGTCTCTTCATGAAAAAGTGGCTACACTAATTACTGTCGAGTAAGAGCCGATTTGCAGTTATATCTATTTTAAGCATGTCCTGATAAAACAAAAACACTGGTAATGAGAGAAACAGGGTTAATTTGTTAAAGATCATGTTTCAAGACAGATTATTTACAGGGCATTGTCCTAACATTTTCTGGTATTATAATCAAGTTTTAGATGTTGACGTTTTGTTAATGTCCAGATACATAGTTATTTTTACCAGGACATTTCATTGGTTAAATGAAGAAAACTCATGTAGCTTTTTTGGTTTTTACTCTAAACAGATTAACTTTGGGCATCGCTTTGAATTTTTTAGCTCACCTGTCACAAAGTGACAGGGTGAGCTTTTGTGATCGCTTTTCGTCTGGCGTCCGTCGTCCGTCCGTCGTCCGTCCGTCGTCCGTAAACTTTTACTTTAAATGACATCTCCTCATAAACCACAAGGCCAATTTCATCCAAACTTCACAGGAATGTTCCTTTGGTGGTCACCTTTAAAAATTGTTCAAAGAATTTAATTCCATGCAGAACTCTGGTTGCCATGGCAACCGAAAGAAAAAACTTTAAATATCTTCTTTTAAAAAACCATAAGAGCTAGAGCTTAGATATTTTGCATGAAACATCTTCTAGTGAGTGTCTACCAAGTTTGTTCAAATAAAAGCCCTGGGGTCAAAATTGGCCCCGCCCCGGGGGGTCATTGATTTTCCCTATATGCATATAGTGAAAACTTAAAAAATCTTCTTTTAAAGAACTCAAAGAGCTATGGCTAAGATATTGAGCATCAAACATGTTCTAATAGGTGTCTATCAAGTTTGTTCAAAGAAAAGCCCTGGGGTCAAAATTGGCCCCGCCCCAGGGGGTCATTGATTTTCTCTATATGCATATAGCAAAAACTTAAAAAATCTTCTTTTAAAGAACCAAAAGAGTTAGAGCTAAGATATTTAGCATGAAACATGTTCTAATAAGTGTCTACCAAGTTTGTTCAAATAAAAGCCCTGGGGTCAAAATTGACCCCGCCCGGGGGGTCATTGATTTTTCCCTATATATGCATATAGTAAAAACTTAAAAATCTTCTTTTAAAGAACTCAAAGAGCTATGGTTAAGATATTTAGCATCAAACATGTTCTAATAGGTGTCTACCAAGTTTGTTCAAATAAAAGCCCTGGGGTCAAAATTGGCCTCGCCCCGGGGGTCATTGATTTTCCTTATATGTGTATAGCAAAAACTTAAAAAATCTTTTTTGAAAAAACCCAAATAGCTAGAGTTAAGATATTAAGCATGAAACATCTTTTAGTGAGTGTCTACAAAGTTTGTTCAAATAAAAGACCTGGGGTCAAAATTGGCCCTGCCCCGGGGTCATTGATTTTCCTTATATGTGTATAGCAAAAACTTAAAATCTTCTTTGAAAAAACCCAAATAGCTAGAGTTTAGATATTAAGCATGAAACATCTTCTAGTGAGTGTCTACCAAGTTTGTTCAAATAAAAACCCTGGGGTCATAACTGGCCCGGCCCCAGGCGTGTCATTGTTTTTAACTATATGTGTATAGTAAAAACTTTAAAAAAATCTTCTTTTAAATAGCCCAATGAGCTAGAGCTTAGATGTTTAGCATGAAACATTTTCTTATGGGTGTCTACCAAGTATGTGCAAATAAAAGCCCTTTGGTTAAATTGGCCCTGCAATGTTTGGGGGGGGGGTTGGGGCGGCCTATATACAGGTGAGCGACCTCAGGGCCATCATGGCCCTCTTGTTTAGTTTAAAAGATTTTTTTTTAGGCAAATGTAAATGTAGGTACTGGTAAGTATTTGAGGAAAAAAAGAAAAGAAAAATCAATGTAAAAATTTTGGAAAATTTAAAAATATAGAACCATTTAAAAGGTAGAAAAATAAAAACTGTGAAAAATTGAACTGTGTTTACTTGATTTAAAATTAGAAATAAAAGAAAAAATAAAAATAAAATGAAACTAAATGAACTTGTGATGGAAAAGGAAATTGCCATAGGTCGCTACATTAAGTGGTCTCACAGACAGATTCTTGTTCTGGATAATTGTGAAGTAAAATGTATAAAAAAGAATTAAATATAAAAAATAAAGGAGTAGTTCAGCATATTTAAAAAACAAAAAAAACAACATATATGGATTAATTTGTTACATTCTTCATCATGAAAGTTATCAGTTACATTTATAAATAGTGAAGGGTAAAAAAGAAAAATGCTTAACAAATGAACAACAAAGAAAAACATTCAGCATTTTATATAAAAAAGAAGACATAAAAAATAATCAGGCAAATGGATTAGGTATTTTCCTTGATCATATTTCTACAAGATAGTCTGAGTAATAAAAGTGGTTTAGATTTCATGAATAAAGTACCAGTGTTATCATGAGAGTTGGAACACTGGTTAGGATCAGTTGTTAATTGGGCGTTGAAATTAGATGTCATTAACTGGACCAGGCCACTGATAAAATTCTCATTTAAACTGTAATTAACAGAAAATTGTTCTGTGAGAGGAAATGATTATCATTATGTTGTTGTTATAAGATAACAGAAAAAAATAGACAGGGAAAAGAGACGGTCAAAAAGTATCTAAAAGTTAAAAAAAGGGGGGAGAAAGAAAAAGAGTTACATAAAGATAAAAAGGAGACTTTAACTTAGTTACTTTTATTATTTTCTTTATTATTTGTCTCTATCATTCTTGTAGCTATACTTTATGCAAAGGAATTGTTCTTTTATTCAATTGATCTTAAATCTAATCATAGTGTATATAGGAGACCCTTTAACATTGGAACCATTTTCTACAATTTCAGGAAAGTCACACCATCTAGAGGCTATTACTTTATCTTTAACCTTCACCCTGCTGAATGCGAAAGTGATCAGTCTTTGCCACCAGTATAGAGCCAGGCCAGCCAGCACATCTATGCAGTCTGACCAGGCTCTATACTGTTGGCTGGCCAACTTCAAATACTCACCTTGATATACCTAAAATTGATAATGGACTGTTCCAAAATGGAAATATGAAAAGTCTGTTTAAGAAATTCAGCAGGTTAAGGGTTAATACCTATTTTCTGGTTTTCATGTGAAATTATCCAAATAAACCACAGAAATTTAAAAAAAAAATGAATTATTACTATCATTAGTTTTGTCTTGTGGCTGTGTGTGTAAAGTAAATTAAAATATTTCTTTCTATTTTATACAGTTTGTTAGTGTCTGGTGGGGCTGATGTGCTACAGTTGAGAATTCCTGTGAGGAACCCTGCTAAAGTTGCTGACACTCTAGGCTATATATTTGTTAGCGAACACAATGCAAAGTCTTTTATACATCTTATCGACTATGGAGTTTTGTGTATCAAACCAGAGTTTATAGGAGATTTTCTGATAAAAGTAAGTATAGTTGATGTATATATTCACTTTATGATACAGGGTATTTCTTCATGAGGTTTGGACTATCTCAATTACTGGTTAATAAGGGCAAAATGTGTGGTAAACTGTCTCAACTAGCAATTGAGGAATCTTATGAAATGAAAGAAATAGAACTGTTGGAATGTGTCAAAATGATTATACCATATTATCTTTTCAATTTTGATATTGCAGAGATACCATTTTGTTTGCAGTAAACAGAATCCAGAGTCATTTATTTATAAGGGTTGAGCATGACTTGAAAAAGTAAAATACTGTCAAAAATAAATTACATTGCTGTCCATTTACAAACATGATTCTTCCTTGATTACTTGGGAGAAGATTTTGATTTTCATTACAGCATTATGTGACTTTTTATTTAAAACATCTAAGTACATTGAGTGTGAAAAGTAAATCATTTTAAAAATTTAAAGAAAACTTTTATATTCAACTGTAGGATCCCCAGCCAGACCCTATGGACTACCTGGTACAAGTTAACAGGATAGAGGAACCACTAAGTGAAGAGTCTTTCCTGATGTCATCACAGAATCTAGGTACATTAACTAACCAAGGTATCTTTAACATTAACCTGCTAAATTTGTGCAATAGATTTACCCACCTTTGAATTCTCGACAGTCCATTGAAAGTAAGAGGAATCTCAATATTGAAATACTGAAATTGAGGGGTGTCTTTGGTCCAGTGGATAAGGTTGTTGACTTTAAACCACTAGCCCCTTGTCACTACGGATTCAAATCTTGCCAGTGTCACCGACAAGACACCAGTGAAAATACAGAAAACATGTTTATCTACAGTAAAAATACAGAAAATATGCTTCATTGCAGTGAAAATATAGAAAATAAAAATACACATTTTATTTCATCAATATTTCTCAATATTTCATTTATAAGTATATAATAAACAAATCATATAAATGTAACTTAGTGGAATTGAGAATGAATTATTATTAGACACCATGACTGAGATATTTCATTTTAAATTTCAGACTCACCTATACCCCAGTCACCTTCTTCCTCAAACAGCATGAACACTCCATGCAAAGAAAGGGCAATAACACCTAGTTCATCTACAGAAAAGTTTCCATCACACACAGAGATGTCTAAAAGGTCAAAGTCAACAAGTAGACCAGTATCAAAACTAGTAGATGACATAACAGATTTGATAGTGATAGAGGAACAGTCAAGTTCATTAAATAAAACAAAACATGTAGGTGATCAAAGTGTTGGTGATCATGATAATGTGGAAGTAATTGATCTGACTGACAGTTCCGAAGACTCTGATGTTAACATTAACGCTGGCATTACTGAGAAAGATAGCACAAAAAATTCAGTACTAGATGATGACCTCGAAGTGAGGAAATCAAAAAGAAATGTTGTGAAAAAATCTCCAGCTTGGAAAAGTTTAATGCCTAGAAGAAGGACAATGTCAAAGCCAGATGAAATTAAGGAAGAGCCTGTTGAAAATGATCAACCGAAAGACAATGTGCTCAATAAATCCAAAGACAACGTGGTCAAAACTTCTACTAGTGCAGCAAGTAGTTCAACAGTAAAACGAAACTTGCTGGACAGCATGGTAGAACAGCCTATTAGAACTAGTACACCTGCTAAAACACTTACTAAAAGTAAGACACTGTCTAAAACACCAAGTAAGTTACTCTTGTTGTTTTAATAATAGTACAATAAATTGTTATAAAAAGTAATAATACATAGAAAAGGTTAGTTGTATTGCTATTTACAATCACATAATTTCCACTATTATAAATGTAGGCCTTATGATATTGTTTGAAAGTTGGTGAACTATCATTGTATGTATCCCTGTATATGAGGCAGTAAATCATATCATTCAGTTACCTAATGGATTTTATTATCCCCTATCAAAGCCAGAGGATGTAGATTTGGTGTTGTCTATCTGGCATGTCCATCTGTCGTAATATTTATCTAAAAGTATTATAGGTATAAACATTAAAATGTCATTAAAGCTACCTCCAGATGAGTCAAAATATTTCAATAAAATCAAACTTGAGAAAAATGTACTTACATGTAAGGAAAAGTAAAAAGTTTTAAGATTCAAGTAATATTTTACATATTATGTGCGATTAATGACTGATTTTTCAGTATTTACAACTATATTTCTACTGCGTTACTAACGCAGTAAAGGCTATTTATGCATATTTTGACCACCTTTTGGTAATTTACGTTGTTTGTAAGTGCAATTGATAATGTGAAAATTGCTTCCTTTTGGTTACTTCACAATATTACACGTTTAAATACATTTTCAAAATTTCCATGAAAATAAGCATAAATCTGGAGGCGTGCTGCTTTAAAGAGTGATATAAGGGCACGGCAATGAACAGTGCTTCATAGGAGCACAGCATTTGAATATAAGATTTATGCTCTAAGGTACATAGTAATAAGATATCAGTTCAATGAATTTGCTTGTTTTACCTATGTAAGATATGTCATAGAAAAACAGCTATTATAAGATAGATTGAATATTTCAGGTATAACCCAGTTCTTCAAACAGGTTTCTAGACAGGGTTCTCCTGTAGCATGTAAAAGCTTGAAGTTAGAAACATCTGACGTTCTAAGTCAACCAACATGTGATAAAATTTCTAGTATTAGTTGTGATAAAACTGTAGAAAGGAAAGAGGGATCTGATAGTAAAAATGTTGAATGTTCAAGTGATGTGGTAGAACCTGTAAACCATTCTGTTAGCATAGGATCAAAACAGGTTACCCAGTCTGGAAACAAAGTGACAGATATGCAAGTTAAAGGGAAAGAACTGAAAGAAAATACAAAGAAAGTAGAGTTTAGTAAGAACAAGGAATGCAAGAACAAGGTTGTTAAAGCAAGCCAACAACATAATGGAACCAGAGAGAACCAGTCTGTCAGAAAACAAAAACCAGATGGTAAAGGGGATAGGAAACGGAAATCTACAGATTTGGAAACAGGTATTTGTTATGTTAATTTATCACATACCTGTGCTGCTTTTGCGAATTCATAAAAATGGTATTGCACGGCCTTGCATATATATTTTGGCGTGACTTCATTTACGTTATATAAACATAGCCTTAAGACGTGCTAAATGTTAGTGTTATATGGTGTGAATGAAAAATTACTCTTTTTCACTTTAAACAGTTTTTAATTTTGACATATGATAAATAGAATTTTAAATTTGTGCAAGTTCAGAGGCTCACATAATATAATTATATTCAACTTGTTAAATAAATTCAGTTTTGAACTTACTCTTATTCAATATCTTCTATTTATATGCAATTTTGACTTCAATTATGAAACATTGACAGTGATATATAGGAACAAAGAAAAAAACATTTTCATATACATGTACATATATCAGGATTTTCATTATGTAGAAAGAAGCTCGAATCTCTTGAATTCTTTTAAATGGGCAGGTATATGAGTAACACATAGAAATAAATGTAAAAAAATGTTACCATAAGTAGGCATGTGATATTTGAAATTCTGACACAAAAAGTTCTTAACTTCTATAGTTGAACAATTCCATATATTGGGTTTAGTGACCAGAAAGAAATTAAGTGACTCATAACTTGTTAAAGTAGATTTTGCCCAGCTATTTGGTCAAAATGAAACTCCCTGCTTATTTATCATTTCTACTCATAAAGAATACTGTAGCTTATTCACAAAGGTGGCACCTTTTGGCTTCTATAGATTCCATATTTATTTCCTAAATTTGGATGAGGCCCCAACATTGATACATATATATGGTATAATAGACGATGTCTATCTCAGCCAAAATGTTATATTTTTCGAAAAGTTCAATATTCATGACCAATTAATCAGTAATCACAATGATTACATGTATGATTACAATACATTTTAAGCTAAAAAAAATTGCTGAACAAACATACATATAAAGGTTAAAAAAGTACCAGTGTCAATGCCTACTAATTGTCTTAGGTAGTGTACAATGTAGCTGAATTAAATGCAGTCACACAGGTCAGATTTGATGACACCTGTGTTTTAATAAGGTGATGATGAAAAGATCACTGACAGATTGACCCAATACATAAATGATTGTCACAATTATACCACTTAAATTTAGCTGTGAAATTATAACAATGGCCTGGATAGGTATATTATCACTTATTGAGAAGACTTTTCAGGTTCAGTAAAGAGCAAGTATAAGCTGCAATTACTGACAAAATTGAGATATGGTTATATTTTCTGTTACATTTTGGTATTGTTACTCCTACGAGGTGCCTCCTGAAACCAAATACATTTGAAAAACTAATGAACATTAAATGTAATATGAGAATATAGCTTAGTAAACAGGAGGCAACACATGTACATATGTAGACTGAATTAATTACTGTAAAACTAAGCTGGATTATTTTTTTGTACATTTGTTGTATTGAAATGTTCAATAAAACGATAGTGTTGAACCATTGCATTTCTTAACTTATGTACATGTAAACAGTAATCATAAATGTAAATTACTCCTGTCAGTAATCAGTAATTTAATCAATTACAATGTCAAAATGGAGTATTCGGTAATTTAATTTAATCAAGCGTTTTGACAAATAATCATAATTTAATCGATTACAATTGTCAAGTAATCGCCCCATGTCTGATTCAAGGTAGGGAAAAGAGACCAAGTTATGCCTGTAGTAGAAACATATACCAGCATTATGTAATTTCAACTGCTCATGTACCCTAAATGTCAATTATTTCCCTAAATCAAGTGCTCAAACCCACATGTTTATGTCACACCACGAAATCACATTTTCATAAGGTTGAAAGACAATAGTGAGTGTCCATTCTGACAAAGAGATGTAACTATGAGGTGGGGATTTTCTTTGAAAATGTTTGCAAAAGTGATGGCTCCGAAAGACATAACAGGGGCTGAATAATTACATAAAGTCTTCAGGGTATAGATTATAACCTAGTGAAGGAAAGTAGGGTTTCTTAATTGGACAAAAATCATAATGGATCATCGAAAATAATCGCATAACCATTTTTGATCAATCATGGATTATATAATCAAAGCATTTACAGTACCAAAGTAAATATGTACATGTACATATCATGCTTTAATGTTTATAAGAATTCCATTAATAACTACCATTTTATCAACTGAAATAAACTAGTTTTTTAAAGATATACTATGCTCATCCTTCTGTTTAATATTTAATCAAATAAATGTATTACAATCTATGAAATTATTATGTTTTAATTCGAATAAAAGAATGAATAAACTATGAATGGGAACTTCCGAAGCTGTGTTCCCTATTACAGGGACAAGTAAATTTGGTCCTTTCTTAACAAAACTGCCAGGTTTTTTTAATGACACTATATATTCATATTGTGACCACCTATAGTGTGTAGAATAATTTTATACGTAACATATCTTCTTTGTGTGAAGTCAAAACATGTTTATTTTATATTAACATAGAGACTGTGTAGCAATTCTAAATATTTTCTAATGTCAAATTTGAGTAAAGTATATCTTTAAACTAGAATGTCTCATTGTCAACTATTAACTCCATGTTCACTGTAGTCACCAGTATGCTTTCATATTCATTTTAATGAGACATTATAGTGAAGACCAAAGCTGGCTTTAATTTAGAGTGTTGTTATAATACAGTCACTTAAGTAACAGCAGGAAAATAAATTACCGATAATCGATTATTAAACTTGTATTCGATCATCATCTCCCTGTCCTGTAAACGATAAATTTTCGATTATTCTCGATCATCTTTTAATCACTATTGAAAAGTTATGTATTTCACTTAAATACACTGTGTTTCAGTAGGCAGTGTTATGTCAGTATTCTTGAATTAATATTTGATACAATACATATTCATTTCTAGACGGCACTCCAATTATCGGTCCATCGGAAAAGAAAAGAATCACTAGGTCATCACCTGCAAAGAATAAAGACATTTCATTAGTTGGGAGTCCAGACTCTTCACCTAGTATTCATGGTTTAACTACAATTCTGTTATCCCCATCAAAGAAGAAATCAGTGGTGACTGGGCAACAATCAACATCTGAAAATCCCATAGCAACTTCAGGCATTCAGAGAACATCATCAGATCACAGTGAAAACAAAGGTAAAGGTACAGTAAATGAGCCGCGTCATGACAAAACCAACATAATGGCTTCTGACCAATATGGATCCAGACCAGCCTGCGCATCCGCGCAGTCTGATCAGGATCCATGCTGTTCGCTATCAGTTTCTCTACTTGTTATAGGGTTTGTAAGCGTACAGCATGGATCCTGATCAGACTGCGCAGACATGCTGGTCGCAAAGCCATTATATTGGTTTTGTCATGACGCGGCTCAAATTTTGTTCCTTCTTTATCCGTTTGAACATAGAAAGTCTTTTTATGACATAACTAGAATGATTCTATTCAGGATAGTTACAGTGTTCAGTCTATCTCATTAAAATCATATCCTAACTGTCACTCCTCTACCCTTAGTAGCAAAGAGTAATGGAGCAAAAAATGATGTGAATTTAATGAGATTGAGTGTCCAGTATAGGTAGCAGGTCATTTTTAGCTCGACTTTTTTTTTTTTGAAAAAAAAAAAGTGACTTCACCACGTGACTCCACCGCGTGTATCTATTTATAGAATTTTCTATTTATAGCATTGTGTGTTTCTATTTATAGAATTTTCTATTTATAGAATTGCGTGTCTCTATTTATATATATATAAATTAGTATACTTGTATATAAAAAATATATAGACAAAACTAATGTGACAAGACAGAATGATTAATTTTATAAAACGGAAACGTTAAGATTTTGTTCAAACATTTCTTTGTTTGCTTTTAGAGAAAGTAAAAAGTCGAGCGTTGCCCCCGCCCGGCGGTGGCTCTTGTTTTTAAAAATTGTGATGAAGTACATTTAAGTATGCATCACTTAATTGCTCGTTTTTGTGCCCCCACGTTAGTGGCGGGCATTTATATTTACCCTGGTCTGTCCGTCCGTCCGTCTGTCCGTCCGTCCGTCCTTCCGTCCGTCCGTCCGTCCGTTCACTTTTGTGTCGCACGTAACTCAAAAAGTATTTGACCTACAGTCATGAAACTACAGGAATGTTGATCAGCATGTGTAGTTGTGCACCTGGGTATTTTCGTCTAGATATTTTTAGTATTTTCAGAGTTATTGCCCTTGACTTAGTAAAATTTTGCAATTTTCAACTTGTGTCGCATGTAACTCAAAAAGTATTTGACCTACAGTCATGAAACTTTACAGGAATGTTGATCAGCATGTGTAGTTGTGCACCTGGGTATTTTCGTCTGGATATTTTTTAGTATTTTCAGAGTTATTGCCCTTGAATTAGTAAAATTTTGCAATTTTCAACTTGTGTCGCATGTAACTCAAAAAGTATTTGACCTAGAGTCATGAAACTTTACAGGAATGTTGATCAGCATGTGTAGTTGTGCACCTGGGTATTTTCGTGTGCATATTTTTAGTATTATTAGAGTTATTGCCCTTGACTTAGTAAAATTTTGCAATTTTCAACTTGTGTCGCATATTACTCAAAGTATTTGACCTAGAGTCATGAAACTTTACAGGAATGTTGATCAGCATGTATAGTTTTGCACCTGGGTATTTTCGTCAGGATATTTTTAGTATTTTCAGAGTTATTGCCCTTCACTTAGTAAAATTTGGCAATTTTCAACATGTGTCGCACATAACTCAAAAAGTATTTGACCTAGAGTCATGTAACTTTACAGGTATATTGATCAGCATGTGCAGTTGTGCACCAGGTATTTTTGTCTGGATTTATTTAGTATTTTTAGAGTTATTGCCCTTCACTTAGAAAATTTTTGCAATTTTCAACTTGTGTCGCAAGTTTCTCAAAAAGGATTTGACATAGTCAATAAACCTTATGGGCAGGTTGCTCAGCATATTTTAGATTTGCACCTGGGGTTTCCCTTGTGGATTTATCCAGTATTTGTAGAGTTATTTCCCTTGACTTAGTAAAAAGATTGACAGAACAGTGTCGCGGTGGGGGCACCCGTGTCCTATGGACACATTTCTAGTTTTTTGTTGTTTTTCTTTTTTTCTGAGAAAAAAATAAGAAAAAAATGAAGCAGCCCTATTAGATTAATGAGCACAATATAAAAAGGTTCTTAAGCACCTTTTTTACTATTTATTTATGAATAAAAAACACAGCTACTATCTGCCAAGACGAAGATAATAAAAAACACAGCTACTATCTGCCAAGACGAAGATAATAAAAAACACAGCTACTATCTGCCAAGACGAAGATAATAAAAAACACAGCTACTATCTGCCAAGACGAAGATAATAAAAAACACAGCTACTATCTGCCAAGACGAAGATAATAAAAAACACAGCTACTATCTGCCAAGATGAAGATTATAAAAAACACAGCTACTATCTGCCAAGACAAAGATAATAAAAAACACAGCTTCTATCTGCCAAGACGAATATAATAAAAAACACAGCTACTATCTGCCAAGACGAAGATAATAAAAAACACAGCTACTATCTGCCAAGACGAAGATAATAAAAAACACAGCTACTATCTGCCAAGACGAAGATAATAAAATACACAGCTACTATCTGCCAAGACGGTTAATAAAAAAGCACAGCTACAATCTGCCAAGACTAGAATACCAGAACAATTTTCATTCATTCAAGACAACTGAAAAAATGTTTTAGCTAGTTTTAGCTTGTAATGGCATGTATGGCGTGATGTTGAAAACAAGCAAGGAGATGTATATTTTAGTCAGTAGATTATTTAAATGTGTACTATCTTTATTTTACAGATAGGAAGTATGAGAATGGGAGGAAGAGAAAATCTGAAGATGCAGAGCTAGAATATGTGCTGGCTCACATCAAGAGAAAAAAGGTTAGTAGTTCTGTTTGTATTGCTTTTCAGTTTATAAACACTCTGTGATTATATTATTACAATATACAACGATGTGCAACATGTATCTACCATGTAACTTCATGAAATTCCAGCTGATAAAATGTATTCTCTGCCAATAGACGTTATCCGGAAATCGGCAAATGTGGGTTTTTCCCAGTTAATATGTAGGTACAAACTAACTTTTACCGCTATAGCTTCATGGTTGACTACCCATCACAATGGATAAGTCATCCACTGTTTCGCTTTAACTGTAAAAAGTTTGTTTGTACCTACAGATTAGCTGGGTAAACCCCAAATATTCTTAATTCTGGAGTAAGTCTATTAAATGGGACTCTTAAATAGTTTTGGAAATGTGTCTTAAGAATTATAAAGCAGAATTCTCAACAGGATTGTTGGCTAAAAAGCAGTGTTTTAAACCTTGCTTCCATGTTTATCTGTACTATATGTAGCTATTGTAGCTTTTGATATTTTTTTTATGATTGTGTGTAATGATTGTTTTTTTTTCAGATGGGCTTCACTGACTGGTGTCCCCCTTCTTTGATAGTGAATTTAAGAGAAACTGAGGTATATATTTAAGGTAGTCTTACTGTAATGCTTTCCTGCCAAAACAATTCCTACATCGGCCAGTATCATAAATCATTAATCTTTCATCTTCAGAATGTTATTTTTCACAATCTTTGGTATTCAATAATTTTTAACCATTCATAACAGGAATTTAGTACAAAGGGATAAAGGATGAGTGATTGTAAATAATGTAATGCCCAAGATTTTGAAAATATAACGTTCCGGAAATAACCGATTTGCTACGATATTGACCTATGTTAGATTTTTTTGGTGAGAAAGCATTACAGTAAGACTACCTTAACTATCTGATTGAGAAATGTAAATATTAGTACAATGTTTATTATAAAAAAAAGCTCATGTTTGTGTAGACAATTTACAAAAGCTATAACTGTACAGCAAACATGTTCTCTTTTACCATTTGATATTAGTATGCAATAACTTTTATTAAATTATTATCAGAAAAAAAGTGTATAGTTTTATGTATATAAAATTGAAGTCATTTATAGCACTATATACATAAATGTTCATGTGTTTGCAAAATTTCAGATATTCGCACATTCGGTGTTTCCAGAATAATTATTCTAATTGTGATAAATGACCCAAAATTGAAAAACATTGCTATGCTTTTAACTCAAATCCGGCTAAGAATAGTACAAATATATGATTTTTAAATTTTTGTTTCTTGAATTTATTACGCATATGTTTTCTGTTTTAAGTGCCCCAGCTGATCTATGTAAGATTTTCAAATTTTATGTTTTTATGCTTTTGGACCTCAGTGGAGTTTCTTTTAATGGGTGCAAATGTTATTTAAAGTTCATATGAAACAAAAACATTATGAAATTGAATTCATGAAATATTGTCAGTACTTATATTATGACACTCATATCTTGTGGCATAGAGACAGTACATTTGCACCCATTATATAGCAAATCAAACATGGCCAGACTGTTTCCACAAGTATTGCTTTGTGCTCAGTGTTAGCATTCTATATTCAAAACCATAAACTTTTAATTTATACAGGTCCAAATTCAATGTGCATAAAGAACTAGCACATAATATAAATTGACTAGGGTAATGGTTTAAATTTTTATCTATTCTTTACTTCCTCAGGGGTGTCTGTGACTCAGGGGGGTCTGTGGCAGAGTGGTTTAAGTCCCACTGCTGTGCGATTAAATCCTGCCAGGGTTATTGCATTCTTACATGCGAGAGTATCAAGCTAGATTAGGAAATGTCAGTGGTTCTACTTAATAACATGCTTGTTCCTGAAATAATGCACCAAGGGACACCTAGGGTCTTCCTCCACCAGTAAAGCTGAAAAATCTCCCATATGACGTTTAAATGTTGTATAATTCAACAAAAATCCCATTGCTTGTGTAAATGACTTGCCCTGCTTTAAATCAGTAACTGTTCATTGTTAGTGGAAGTGGATTTCAATGTTAAAATAATCTGATTAAGCAGCCAGTAATGATAGGTACTGTTTATACTTTGCAGAGAGTGACTCTATACTTGTAGGTAGGTAGCATAGTTAAATCATTTTAATTGATACTTAAATACTTAATATTTTCAATCAGGATGTACCCGACTTGGTTATGATGCCGACTACAACCACAGAAATATTCATGGCCACACTAGAGGATGGTTTTACGTTTGAAGCACTAGAATATTTAGAGTCACAGGTCACGTTCAAGTATTATCCCCAGTCAGATAGCATCAGTCAGATAATGAGAAATGTTCTTCTGGTATGTCATTTGGTTACTTTCATGGAAGAAGCATGTACTTTTTGAAATTAACTCTAATCATATTTAAAAGAGGACAGTTCGACAATTCAAAGCACAAGACTTTGTTAATTAAACCACAAGGGTGCTATGTGAAGCCTAACAGTAGATATGTTAGTAAGAATGTGAAAAGTTATCTTTCCTTCATAGAGAGTTTTATAAAAACACATTGTATAATGTTAACTAAGAAAAATTTATGAAATTCATTATTAATGAAAAAAGTCTTTATTCTAGAAAACAGAGGACGAGACTCTACGTAACCGGTCATACAATATTCTGTTACACATGTTGATGGTAAATCCTCCAGTTACAGCATCATTACAACAGGTATATTTACGTGCTCTGGCAGGATGTAAGATAGAGGAAGATTGTCAGATAGGGGCGGAGTGGGACTTTATCCACCAAATGTATAAGGTATGTTTTAATAATTAAAGCAGAAAGGTTTTTTTAAATAAATTTTCTCACTAAAGCTTTTTCTTAGCATATATCAAATGTGATAAAGTAACATATACTTTAAATAATATCGAGCGTTTTTAGTTATTAACTTTTACATTGTTTACTATATCATGTCTTTGTCCTGCTTTTTGACCCTTCGCCAGCTGGCGGTGACTGAATTTCCCCATGCCACTAGTGCAGACCTAGATCAGCCGGATTATTAGCCGTCCAATCATGAACTGCACTGTTTGCTACTCGTCAGTACTTACTTGAAATTTTTTTGTAAAATGATGAAAAAAATTTTTTTTTCAGATTTTTAAAGAATTAATTAACATTTTTCTTTTTTTGGAACTATTCTTTATTAACTGAATGTCTCAGTATTCATGTGTTTTAAGAAATGTGATAAGTTATGGTTAAGAAACTGAAGCTTTAACATACAGTCCTTTGGCTGTATGCTTAAACGAGCAGTCCTTCGGCTGTAAGCTTAAACTAGCAGTCCTTTGGCTGTAAGCTTAAACAAGCAGTCCTTTGGCTTTAAGCTTAAACTAGCAGTCCTTTGGCCGTAAGCTTAAACGAACAGTCCTTTGGCTGTAAGCTTAAACGAGCAGTCCTTTGGCTGGAAGCTTAAACGAGCAGTCTTTGGTGGAAAGCATAAAATGAGCAGTCCTTTGGCTGTAAGCTTAAACGAGCAGTCCTTTGGCTGTAAGCTTAAACGAGCAGTCATTTGGCTGTAAGCTTTAATGAGCAGTTCTTTGGCTGTAAGCTTAAACGAGGCAGTCCTTTGGCTGTAAGCTTAAACAAGCAGTCATTTGGCTGTAAGTTTAAACAAGCAGTCTTTGGCTGGAAGCTTAAATGAGCAGTCGCTTGGCTGTAAGCTAAAACGAGCAGTCCTTTGGCTGGAAGCTTAAATGAGCATCCTTTGGCTGTAAGCATAAACGAGCAGTCCTTTGGCTGTAAGCTTAAATGACCAGGTCCTTTGGCTGTAAGCTTAAACAAGCATCCTTTGGGCTGGAAGTTAAAGGAGCAGTCTTTGGCTGGAAACTTAAACGAGCAGTCTTTGGCTGTAAGCATAAACAAGCAGTCCTTTGGCTGGAAACTTAAACGAGCAGTCCCTTTGGCTGTAAGACATAAAAACCAGCAGTCCTTTGGCTGGAAGCTTAAATGAGCAGTCCTTTGGCTGTAAGCTAAAAGACCAGTCCTTTGGCTGTAAGCTTAAACAAGCAGTTCTTTGGCTGGAAAACTTAAACGACCAGTCCTTTGGCTGTAAGCATAACAAGCAGTCCTTTGGCTGGAAAACTTAAACGAGCAGTCCTTTGGCTTGTAAGCATAAACAAGCAGTCCTTTGGCTGGAAACTTAAACGAGCAGTCCTTTGGCTGTAAGCATAAACAAGCAGTCCTTTGGCTGGAAGCTTAAATGAGCAGTTCTTTGGCTGTAAGCTTAAACGACCAGTCCTTTGGCTGTAAGCTTAAACAAGCAGACATTTTAACTAAATTTTGATTTTGTCAGGTATTAGAACTGTTTTAAATGTAATAATTTGTTTATCTTTTCCAGTGAAATATTAACAAGTGATGATGCTGTAATCAAAAGGAACAACAGATTATTGTTCAAGTTTATTATACAGTTATTACAGTACAATCTTCAACATATCCAGTAAGTTTTTGTTGAAACTGTAACTAAATAGAGAGCTTGTTCATTTTATATTGTATTTTACATAGCAAAGGCATTAGAAATGTTACACATGTAACAGCAATATTTTCACACAGATTTTCTTATTTACTCTTAGAATGCCAAACATACATGAATCCCTTGCCCTGGTTTGAATTTAAGACTGTCCATTGTTTTTTTAAAGGATCTATCGTATAAGGCAGTTTAAAGTCGTTGGTGCTGTCTGTGACTGAGTGGTGAAGGTCGTTGACTTCAAACCACTTGCCTCTCACTATTGCGGGGTTGATTCTCATCAGGGACTTTGAATTCTTCAGTTTGAGAATGCTTTCCTGTTGTGTAATGGAATATCAGTGGTTCTACTAAGGTGCCTGTTTTTGCCAGAAATTATGCTCAGAGGTGCACCTTAAGTAGTCCTCAACCACTTAAGCTTAAAAGTTGCAACAGTGTGAATGCTTTTGTTTTGTTTTGATTGGGTTTTACGTCACATCGACACAGTATAGGTCATATTGCGACGTTCCAGCTTTACTGGTGGAGGAAGACCTCAGGTGCTCTCCCGTGCATTATTTCAGGCACAAACGGGCACCTGAGTAGAACCACCGACGTTCCGTAAGCTAGCTGGATAGCTTGCTCACATGAAAGAATCCAAAGTCCCTGTCGGGATTCGAACCCACAGCGGTGAGGGGCAAGTGGTTTGAAGTCAAGGACATTAACCACTTGACCATGGACGCCCCAAGTGTGAATGCGATGTTAAACCCAAGCAAAAAAAAATTTAAAAAATGGTCATCTGGCAACAGTTTATAACCTGTTATTCAAGGCCTGAGTTCTTAGGAATGGTCTGTATATATGTCTATTTCTTCCATGATGAATATCTGGTTTCCAAAAGGAAATATATATTCATCAAGATAGCTAGCCGGGAATTATATGTAAAAGTAAAGGCATTTTTACAGTTTTCAGTTCTAATATATTGTAAAGATTTTCACAGACTCCAAACGTTATAACTGTTCTTCTGACTAGAATGTATCTATGTAAATTATTAAATAATTAAGGCCTATCTTGGCATTTGAAGTCCTTCTGTAACCTTAAAATTTCAAAAGATGTCACAATGCTTGTTATACTTTTGAGCCGCGTCACGACAAAACCAACATAGTGTGTTTGCGACCAGCATGGATCCAGACCAGCCTGCGCATCCGCGCAGTCTGATCAGGATCCATGCTGTTCGCTATCAGCTTCTCTACTTGTTATAGGGTTTGTAAGCGAACAGCATGGATCCTGATCAGACTGCGCTGATGCGCAGGCTGGTCTGGATCCATGCTGGTCGCAAACCCATTATGTTGGTTTTGTCATGACGCGGCTCATTTGTGGAATAACCATTCATATTTTAGAAGTACAGACAGTTCACAAGAAGATCATAATAGGAAGCATATGTTACTACGTATAATCTGGACACCATCGTACCATATTGTGTTCAATAAACGATGTCGTGCTCTGGTTGATGTTATGTCAGATGTGATAATGTCATACCAATCTATAGCATTGTCAAACAGAGAAAAAATGCTGGTAAGAATTGATAAATTATTCCGAGTAGTTTAATCATGTACACAATGTTTGGTAACAGAACATCTTGTGGGAACAATTATTTTTTAAGCAAAACAGAGTGAAATTGCTTGTTATCAGTTAATCTTCATAATAGTGTTACATTTTTCAGTTTGTGTGTGATTTGAACTTCCAAGATGTCAGTGCATTTACATAGAGGATATTTGTTTGTTTTGCACGTAAGATTAAAATATATTTTTACTGAGTGAACACCAGACGCAATATTTTCACGAGTGGGGTAGCCACAAGTGAAAATAGAATAGCTGGTGTTCACAAATGAAATATATTTCAATCTTATATGTAAAACAAATAAATTTTATGTTAATTATACTTTTTAAGTGATTTTAAGTATTTTTACTCCTTTTGCCGCATAACGTTGCACATTCTCTTTTGTGATCTCATCACATCATGACATCACCTCATCAATTTTGAAATATAATTCTGCTAAATTTCTATAATTTTGTTACAGTTTTAACATGATGTATAATGACATCGACTTTCTTTTCCTGAAGAAGCAAAATTTACGTATGATGGCGTTTATTTTTGCCTGTTATTCCATTTAGTTCATCCCCATTCAGATATAGTCTGGCTACAGTGAAAATTATATTTTGTAAATTTCACTAGTGGTTTATTAGAATATAATCATCTGATATATTACAGTAAAACACTGGAAAGCATGAAATAATATTGTTGTAACTGCTTTATACTAAAATTTTCAAATCAACATCTCCAAGACCATATATTCATGATTTGAGCATTTATCATAATTTATATTGTAAGTATTGAGCACATTTGCCCAGTGAAAAGTGCTAGTTTACTTAAAGGCCCATTCAACCAAGAAATGTTGTTGTTTTTATTTCTCATAAACTTTTTTATTTTCAGCATCCTGTTATTGTTTTTAAATCTTTATGCATCTGCAAATTATCTAAACTATCCTTCACTTCTGTTGCTTTTTATCCCCTGCCGAAAAGGCGGCGGGGGATATAGAAATAGTCTCCGTCCGTCCGTCCGTCCTTCCGTCCGACATTTTTGTCAGGAGCATATCTCTAAAAGTATTTGAGGTATCAACTTGAAACTTCATAGGTGGATAGACCTCATTGAGGAGGAGTGCAGTGTACAAGAATGATAACTCTACCTTGCATGATTTTTGAGTTATTGCCCTTTGTTATTTTTCAAAATTGATTTTTGTCCGGAGCATAACTCCAAAAGCCTATGAGATATCAACATGAAACTTCATAGGTGCATAGATCTTACTCAGGAGGTGTGCAGTGCACAAGAACGATAACTCTACCTTTCATAATTTTTGAGTTATTGCCCTTTGTTATTTTTCATACTTAATTTTTCACCTGAGTGGAGCATAACTCAAAAAGTGTTTGAGATGTCAACATGAAATGTCATTGGTGGATAGATCTTATTGAGGAGGAATATTGTGCGCAAGAATGAGAACTCTTCCCTATACAATTTTTGAGTTATTGCCCTTTGTTCTTTTTCATGCTATTTTGTCCAGAGCTTATCTCAAAAAGTATTTGAGGTATCAACTTGAAACTTCAAAGGTGGATGGATCTCATTGAGGAGGAGTGCATTGCTTAAGAATGATAACTCTACCCTGCATTATTTTTGAGTTATTGCCCTTTGTTATTTTTCAAAGTTAATTTTTGTCCAGAGCATAACTCAAAAAGCCTTTGAGATATCAAAATGAAACTTCATAGGTGCATAGATCTCACTCAGGAGGTGTGCAGTGCACAAGAATGATAACTCTACCTTTCATAATGTTTGAGTTATTGCCCTTTGTTATTTTTCATACCTAATTTTTCACCTGAGTGGAGCATAACTCAAAAGTGTTTGTGATGTCAACATGAAATGTCATGGGTGAATAGATTTTATTGAGGAGGAATGCTGTGCACAAGAATGATAACTCTTCCCTGTACAATTTTTGAGTTATTGCCCTTTGTTCTTTTTCATACTATTTTGTCCGGAGCTTATCTCAAAAAGTATTTGAGGTATCAACTTGAAACTTCATACATGGATGGATCTCATTGAGGAAGAGTGCAGTGCACAAGAACGATAACTCTACCCTGCATAGTTGTTTAGTTATTGCCCTTTTTTTATTTTTCAAAATTAATTTTTGTCCAGAGCATAACTCAAAAGGCCTTTGAGATATCATTATGAAACTTCATAGGTGTATAGATCTAACTCAGGAGGTGTGCAGTGCACAAGAATGATAACTCTACCTTTTATAATTTTTGAGTTATTGCCCTTTGTTATTTTTCATACTTAATTTTTCAATTCATTTTTTTTCTCAAAAGTATTTGAGGTATCAACTTGAAACTTCATAGGTGGATAGATTTTACTGAGGAGGGATGTAGCACACAAGAATGATCACCTACCCTGCATTATTTTTCAGTTATTGCCCTTTGTTATTTTCAGCCATCAGTATTCACATAGGTTTCAAATCTGTAATCACTATAGCCATCAGTTTTCATTACCAAAAGACCTCTTAAAATGGAATTATTCTACTCTACTACATACACATTCTTCCAATGAGCAAACACATTTGGCGGGGGATGGCCATGTTGACATGGCTCTTGTTGGCATTTAGTAGTGATTCAGTATTATGAATGAAAGCCAAAATACAGCTTTGTTTACATTTTGCTTCTTTTATGACAAATAATTTCACATTCACATTCCTTTTTTAAAGACAGAAATATTTATATGTTTTTGAGACATAATGTGCCTTTAATCTGACATTATCTTTCTTCAACACAGTTAGAGATGTTAGATGATGTATTATGGATGATTGCCATGGTAACCGATTGCTGTAGAGTCCATGAATGTGGAAATCTAGATCCTATACAAGCATCACATGCAGATAAAACATCTGTCTTTGTTCATGAAATTTCCAGCAAACTGAAAGGTAATATATCAAACAATTATATTAAGCTGTAAACTTTGTTTTATTGTCATCTTTTATTATTATTACAGAGAAATTACACTTCCCCTGAGGAAAGAGTCAGTGACCCCTGGATTACGGGAACAGTTTCATTTTGATCTAAACAGCCCATAAAAAGTTTGATTGTGTTAAAATGTTGTCTTTTTGTATTCTTTTATTATTCTTAATCAAATTTTCTCTCCACAGTTGCGAATGTCAGTGACCGTTTTCTACTGGACACAATAATGCAAGGTTTGCAGTTACCATGGTTACGGGTAGGGGTGTGTCAACAACTTCTCAACATGTATGATGACTATCTCCTAATGGAGGAGAACAGTAATGATACCAAATCTCTTACATTTCAACATATTGTAAGTATTGTTCATGATGATAATTAATTAATTATGTGTAAAAACCATCTTGCTATATCAAAGTGACAAAATGAATCAGAAGTGAAAACCAAATAATACTATACAAAATTATGTTAATTTAGACCAATATTGAAATGTAAAACATGCACTGATAATATAAAGTGAAATAGTAATGATGAAACTCCATCATGGAAAGGAATTAATATAAGTGTTATGGTTGTTTTCCAATCTATATATGAGCCGCGTCATGACAGAACCAACAAATTGCGTTTGCGACCAACATGGATCCAGACCAGCCTGTGCATCCGCACAGTCTGATCAGGATCTATGCTGTTCGCTATCAGTTTCTCTACTTGTAATAGAGTTGGTAAGTGAACAGTATGGATCCTGATCAGACTGCGTGGATGCGCAGGCTGGTCTGGATCCATGCTGGTCGCAAACACACTATGTTGGTTTTGTCGTGATGTGGCTCATATATATTGTGATGTAAAATGATACATGCTTGTTAATTTCCTAAATATAATATGTTTACATCAAAAGTGACATTTTGCCTATCCAACAGCAAATAGTGAAATTAAGATAACTTTTTATGTCATCTTATTTGTTTTCAATTTGATATTAAACATGATGTAACTTAGACATAGTTAATATCAATAACCCCTTTGACCCAGATAGATATCTATAGATATCCTTCGGAAAATATCTGTACTGTTTAATTTATATAAAGAGTGGGACAGTCTTTTCATATTCAGACAGCCTTTTTATATTTTACCCTAAACATTTGTGATTATCAGTTATTGTTCATTTGGCATTAAAATAGTCAATCTTTTTTGTGGAATATACAGCTAATTTATCCCAGCTTTACATTAAAAAAACGAGTATAATGCATAGATCTTTGACCTGTCTAATTCTAATCTGATAGATTAGTGGATACACTAAAAATTTCACCACAACATATTCCTTTACAAAAGAGCACATGTCAATGTTTGTGGTAAAATTTATTGTTATTCAAATAAAAGATTAGAGATCTATCAATGTCACTTCAAGCTTGCAATCTAGTGTCTGATATAATGCATAGATAATCATGTAATTCATCCTAAAATTAGTAAGGGTAGTATGACTCAGTGCTAAAACAGCAAGACTGTCTCCAAGTCATCAAAGAATATAGATTAACACCAAAACAAGTTTTAAAGTTCTATACTGTTGGCTGACTATCTTCAATTTTTGTATCTTGATAATTGATAATGGACAGTTCCAAAAATGGAAGCTGGTCAAGTTCATAAACAAAATCAGAAGGTCATGGTATATACACTTATACAGCATTTTATAATACTGCATGTTTGTAACGTCGCTTTTCATTGGATAATCCTGATATTTATATAGGCTATATACATGACTGCTGTCAATTTATGAAGTAATCTTAACTTTTTCCTGTTAAAAAGATGCTTGCTGTATTATAAATGGTTATAGATATTTCTGACAGGTTACTGTAAAACACTTATTTTTCGCGAGAACCTTATTTCGCGAATTTGAGGCAAAATGTCCAAAATAATTATTTCGCGTCAACATGAATTCGCGTCTTGCCGAAAAATGTGAAACCGGAAACCCGATGTCATTCGGATATTTCTTGTCCTGTCCGTTCACTAACTTTGCGTCGTTTATTGTGCAACGAATGCATTTATATCTGTATCGATTTTTCTGATAGCTTGCTAATCTTCTTGTTAAGTGAAACCGTCTGTCCAAAAATATGTCAATAAAGTTTGATAATTATTTGATATGTGTTCACTGTGTTTGTCAAAGTGTTAAAGTTTCACTGATTAGCCATTCACAGGCAAGCAGACGAAACTCAATTAAACGGTACTGTAATTTGCCTAACCTGTAGTAAACGATTATGTTTACCCTCCGGCTTAAACTGTAGTACACAATAAACAGAAATGTTACAAACAACTCGCAGGTGCTAATTAAGGTAGCACTCCACACTAAATTTCAAGTTTCTGCCGTCAGTGTCCTACAAGCAATATGTCTGATAAATCTGATCCCAAACTACACAACCTGGAAAAAAAACACATTTTGTTAAGAAGATATATGTCATAACATTGAAAATTTATAATGAAATCATCCCATGTGCAACAGTCAGGCAGTTAAAAAAATCCAATTCATTCCGTAAAAGCCAAAAATCTATAGTGGTCCGAGACCCAAAACAACATATTTCGTCCCGCCGGCAAAAATACCTGCAAATATACGGGCTACAGAAACTCTGTCACTGCTTTAGCAACTCCCTATACATGCAAAATATCACGAAGAAATAGGTGCTTGGCCTTGTAGATTTTTTGCTATTGCTGAAAGTTTGTACCCCCCTGTAAAATTACTTAAAATGCGTTCCAGAATAAAAAAGGAAATTCCAGATGTCCTTTTTCCGGGGGTCGACCTTTAGGCACTTTTTCAGCAACAAATTTACATGCAGAGAGTGATACATAGTTAGACTAGAGAGATAGGGGAATAATTCCCCTATCTTTTAAACCTCAGACGAAACGCATAGTACCTGTCCGTTCTGCGGATGATATTCGACTATCTTTTTATAGGGGTTTATTTTCTAAGGATAATTTTGCAAACTGTTGTTTGGAGTTATTTGATAAATATGCATAAAAGTATATTGTTCATACTTTAAAATGGTTCTTGTTGCTGGGTCGTATGGGGGTTGCGTTTATTGGACGCCGCCTTTCCTTGTGATCTTGTTTATCATATTTTAATATTACTGTCATTTTTGCATTCATTTTCCGAAATCGCAAATGGTGTAATACTATTTTACGAAATGAATAAATATGATATTTTTTCTCCATATTTCTCATGCGTTAGTATGATCTTTGCTGATAATTGTTATTTGTGTAGATGAAAATATGTTCGTGATATATGGTTTTACCCCCGTTTATATGATGATGATATGATCAATGACAAAATGGAGGGTCATTGAATAACGCTAACATTTGTTCTTGTTTTTTTGTGACAATAAGTTTCTTTATTAAACATTTTCCATCATACATCATGTTGTTAAAATGAAAAAAATGTAGTTAAACAACAAAAATAAAAATATCTAAAAGTTATCTACAACTGATATTAATATAATAATTAATAAGCTAGTGGTAACGCATTATTGCCAACTTATCCATTTTTACCAACTATCTATAAAAAATACGTATCAATTACCTACAATGTAATCATTACATTTATTTACATTAATTATCAACTTTAAAAAAACTAGTGCAAAAATATAATATTTATAGTGAAAAATGAATAATAATAATGACAACAATAGAAATAATAATTATAATAATAATGAACTTCACTGTTCATATATAAATATATATATTAATAAGTGACTTCAACTGATTTTTCTCATTTTCTTTTAAAAAAATATGCCATGTTTATTTGCCAGGGTGATATTGAAATGAGAAAAATAAATTAATGTCAGTTATTTTTAGTAAAAGATTATTTCATTTTTACTATTTTTCTCATTAAACTTATATACCTAAAAGTGTTAATGAAAATATCAGATAAACAATTTTGCTTTATCAATATAATATAACTGTTACATATACCGGGATGTGTTCCCAAATTACCCATTACTTCAGTGTGGGCATAGAAAAGTTGTTTGAAGTGGCAAATAGGTGAAAGATAAGCATCTTTGCTTTCTAACATTAACAAAATGAAAAGGTACTTTACTCGTATAGCATTTAATGATAGGAAGAGTTTACTTTTCTTTTTCTTTTTTAATAACTGATAAATAAACAAATAAATAAATAAAGGGATGAAAAAATAAGTAAATAATAAATAATTAATAAATATATGAATAAATAAATAAATAAATATATATATAAATCATTGATGTAATATAAGGTGATTGAAATGTGATAAAAACATCAAATGGTAAAAATGTTATTAAACTGCGGTATATCATAAATATTTATCAATTATATGCAATAATGTGATTGATTGCTGTCATGAAAATATATTGTTTCAATGCTGAGTAAATAGCTTAATTATATAACCCGGTTCAGAGAGAATACAAAACTCATTCAACCAAAGTTATATTTTTATGGTTATATATTGGCACATCTTCATCTGTTAATTCTTTTGAAATTATATCCAAGTTTATGCGGACAAATAACACATAACTGTTTGCTATGCATGTATGTTCCAAAAGTGCCAATTCAATGTTCTAAGATTTCTTTACTCAAAGAAGTCGTAAATCTTATAAGCTATCGTACAAACTCTAGTTGTAAAATAATGTCCATTTTACTGACAGTCGATTCCACATAAATCATTTCGCTAGGGCTATTGGTACTTTGCGAAACGGAACGAAACGAAACAAAACGGAACGAGGGGCACCATATAGGGAAATTAAGAATTCTAGTTTTAATTTGGAAAATCAATATAATCATAATAGTTAATAATATGAACTCTTTATAATCATAGTCAAATGATTTTTAATGTCCAATGCAACTCATAATATGCAAAACATTAATTTTTAATCTTGTTCCGTTACGTTACGCAAAGTACCATTACCCACGTGGATATTGGTATTTTGCGGAACGGAACGGAACAAAAATTAAAGGGGTTGTATATATCGGTGAAAAGGAATTAATCTTTTATTTGTAGTTAAAAGCATAACACTGAATGATTATAAATCTAACATCAGTTAACGAGCACATTTGTACATGTAATATGAACCAGAAGAGCAACCTTAATATTATTTACCGGTCCGGATATATATAAAGTCTTGTCATAAGCTGTCGAATGAGGAAACTCACGCAGCGCGTAAGAAATGAAATTAAAAATTCGCCTTGTTTCGTTCCGTTACGCAAATTACCAATACCAACACAGGTATTGGTACTTTTGCGAAACGGAACGAAACGAGAAAAAATAATTCATTTTTATATGAAATATTTTTTCAGGAATTCATATCTAATACTCGTTTATGCTTGCATGCACAATAATGATCA